AGTGTGTGAGTATGTGTGTGTGTATATTGTGTGTGTGTGTGTGTGTGTGTGTGTGTGTGTGTGTGTGTGTGTGTGTGTGTGTGTGTGTGTGTTGCTGACTTTGTAACTCAGGGCTTTTTATATGCTGGCTATGCATTCTACCACTGATCCATATACTTGGCACTCTAGTGATGTACTGAGAATACAGCAGTCTTGTTAAAATGATTAATTTTGTTACTCTTAAAGTAACACTTCACTAATAATGCAGCAAAGTGAACCAATGACTTTTATGTTCTTGGAAAACAGAGGGTAGACTATGCCAGAGAAAAACAGTGTCTAGGTTGTTCTAGACCCACACAGTGGTGTATTATGCAGCCATTAAGACAACGTAAGGAAGTTTAAATAATATAGTCATATGCTATGATAGCAAAATAAAAATGCGTATCCATTATGATCTTAAACAAGAAGCATCAATACTGACAGCAGCATCACTAACAGCGATCATCTCCGGTGGTATTTGTAGATGACTTTTATATTTTGTTTGTACTCTTCAATGTTTCCAAATTTCCAAAGCAAAGAGAAAATGCTTCTTTGACGTTCACTAATTCACTTAGAACACCTACAAATAATGAATAAACAAATGTGCAACCATCTACTGTTCAAGTAAATATTTTGCATAGTACTATGTTAGACTAATCGTCTGCTGTTGTGTAAGAGAGAGCCAAATCCACATCCTTCTCGTTCTCACTTTATTCTGTGGTGTCCTGCAGACTTGTCGCGGTTAACCAGGATTTCACTTTTCCCTCACTGTTCCCTGAGTTAGGAGAGCCAACAGAGGAGCGCGTGTTATTCCCGTTAGAGAATGTAGGAAGACAACGTTAAAGTGTGGCAGAAATGTGAACAGCTGAGAGTCTGTAAAACACACCAAGTGTGTGAAAGATGTAGACAAAGCTCCATCTCTTCCTTCCATGGGGGTGAGGGAAGGGCTTGCCATCAGGGAACTCCAGGTGCTCGCTGCGGCTGCTGTTGCCTTCCCAGTCGCCATCCTCTGCCCCTGCTGTCCAGTTGTAGACATATCGGTCAGGAGTGAATCCCAAATCTAATCAAGAAACAAACAGGGCGAGTTAATTTTCTGGCCTCCAAATGTCCAATGCTCAAACACTTCATGTTCCCGGAACCGAACCACCGTAAAAGCTGCTAAGGACTAGCATCTCCCTCCCTCCCTCCCTCCCTCTGTTTATTTGCTATACATACAGCACTCTGCCTGCGTGTAACCCTGCAGGCCAAATTGGGAGCCACCATGTGGTTGCTGGGAATTGAACTCAGGACCTCTGGAAGAGCAGTCGGTGCTCTTAACCTCTGAGTCGTCTCTCCAGCCCCTAATGTTAATGTTCAGAATCCATCCGTGGTGTATTGATAACTCGTGCACTGCGATTATGCATTTCAATAAAGTATTATAGTATCAATTTCCAGGAACCGTCCATCTGGAGATTTTACTTAACAGGTGTCTTCCTGTTGACTCTCCAAATCTCCGTGCTATTCAAAACAAACTACAGGGGGCATCGTCTTCTAGCTGCACACTCTCCTCAGCTTCTTTTCCTCACTCATTTGATACCACAGCTAAGTTCTGAGTCTCTGCTCGCCCCCAGCACCCCCTCCCCCGACAGGACAGGGACCAAAAGAATCTGCCTCCTGCCCAACAGCTGAATCTTCACCTCCGGGCAATCTGTCACCCTCTGCTGGCATCTGAGGACACTTGCATACACAACAGACACACATCTACACATAGGTAAATAATAAAAATAAATCCTAAAAAGGGGATCTCTTGGCTTTGCAGACACCAGGACTGTAAGATGGCGACCAAGCTGGTTACTGGTGTGGAATGTCACCCCCAGTGGCACCGCAGGAGCCTTTCACAGAGGTTACCACGGTATTAAAGTACACCAATGTGCAGAAAGGCAGCATCGAAGGGCCTAGCAGGGTGCTGGCAGCCCTCCGTGGTTTTCAGCTACTGCCTTTCTTACAGGGAACTCAGACTGGAGCCAGTGAGCTGTGATGCAAGTGACGGCTGGCACTGCATGCCTGAGCATAACCTCTCCAAATGTGTGATATTTTCCACGTAGTTCAGAACAATCCCTTCGTTTGTGTCCTTGAAGAGCTCCTTATCAGGCTACTAGTTGTTATTCCTTTTTATTCTTAAATGGTCCCAGACACAGTCAAGAGAAACCCCTCTACATTGCCTCCTGTGCCCTTTTAACACAACTCCACTGGTCTTTGAGTTTTTCCTAGTTTTCTGTTACAGTTAAGGTGTCTCAAGCCAGGAGTGATGGTGCACACCTTTTAAGTTCAGCACTCGGCACGGCAGGCAGAGGCAGGCAGATCTCTGAGTTCAAGGACAGCCTGGTCTACAAAGGAAGTTCCAAGACAGTTAGGGCTACACAGAGAAAAACCTCTTAAGTGTGGTTATATATATGCATATATATATTTGAGTATAGTAACACATACCTATAATCCCAACACTCTGGAGACTGAGGCAGGAGGATCATGAGCTTGAGGCTAGCCTGGGCTAGATAGGAATACGAGAGAGAGAGAAGGGAGTGTGAGAGGGAGAGAGAGAATATTACATATTTACCACTAGATAAATAATTAACCTCCATCCATACAGAATTTAGTGTTTTCCTTGAGGGAGATTTAAAAAGATAATGAGGGACGTACACAACAGATCTGCAGAAGCCGTGATTGGCACAGGCAGCTCACAGTGCAGGGACATCTTCACTGTTTGAGTAAGCTCAGGGGTTATCTGAGATCTCCAGAGTGAACAATCCTGACAAGAGAGTTTTCCCTGATGTATTTATGCTCTTTTAACTTGGGTAGTAGACGTATTTCTTTAAGAGCAAAATAAAATCAGACCATTCATCTTCAGCAGAATATTCTGTACTAGCAGAATATTGTCTGCTTAAAAATAGTAGTCAACAGAAACAAACCTGTCAAATGGGGCCCTGGGTGGTATCGATTTTGTGGCCAAACAGGCAAAAAACCGAGAATCTGAGTATAGACAATGTATTCTCTGTCCAGGGGACACGAAGCACTAGCTGGGTGTGACAGTGGAGGAAACACAGTTTGGAATGTGTGTGTAGCCCCGGGGATGGAGCTCAGGGCTCTGCATGTTCATGGAGTTTGTCCTATCTCAGTGGCAGAGCTTAAAGGGGGATTTTGGCAGGAGCTGGAACCAGCATGGGGAAGAGGGACAGGAAAGGGGAATTGCAGATGGACATGATCAAAGTTCATGACTTATGTATAGGAAAATATTTTGTACAGTAAATATGGGCTAATTAAAAGGGAAGTGAACCCCCCACCACCACTCACACAGGAGCAATTTGCTAAGGAGGGTTGGGTAGCGTTGACACTGGTGAGGGGGCTGGACAGCTCCACACATCCCTGTCACCCAGCTTGAGGAGGAGGGTGGCAGGGGTTGGTGACAGCACCCGTGAGCATTAGGATCATGGTTGGGGCTCCAGGAAGGAGCTGGCCTTCTTACCATTTCTGCAGTTCTTCTCATAGACGATGTTACCATTGGCATCTTCCTTCTGGCATCTGGGGAACACCAGGTTCACCACAAATGTGATATTGGAACCCACCAGAGCTGGTGAGTCACTGGTCAGGACTGCCTGCACACGGCCTCCTAGGGCAACAAAGAACGGGGTTCATTCCCTCAGAAGGCCTTTCACCAAAGGTGTTTAAAATAAAGTAATATCTATTGGTAAGGACTGTGCCATCCATAGGCCTCTTTACAGTGTGTTAAATTTACTTCCTGGATACTAACTTTAGCTTTCACAGTACAGTATCATAGAAAAAGTAAGTTGAGTGATTAAAGGATTTTTCTAAACATGGAACGAATATACAAAAGGGGTTAGAGAGATGGCCCCGTGGTTAGGAGCAGTGGCTGCTTTTTCAGAGGGTCCTGGTTCAACCCCAGAACCCACATGGCAGCTCACCATCATCTGTAAGTGTAACTCCACTTTCAAGGGATCTGATGACCCTTTAATGACCTCCTTGGGCACCAGGCACACATGTGGTTCACAGATATCATAGACAAAACACCAACACACACACACACACACACACACACACACACACACACAATCTGATTTTGGATTGAGGAAGCACATGTTGAAAGTGTATAGATTTTAACCTTAAAACCACACGACTGGAGGCTCAGCCTTTGGCCTTCCTGAAATGATACGCCTTCTGCAAGTCACACTTATGGGTGATGAGGCCATGTGTCGGCTTTTCTGAGGTTGCCTACGCCACGGTAGTCAATAGGTTTGAGTCCAAATCTGCTTGCTCTCTAAAATACTTGCAAATGTCTAAAAGTCCAGGTGATATGGTGACTTAGAAAGTGAGGGTGTTGGGAGGAAGGAGAGCTTGCTATACCCAGGGACTGCTCATTTGCACCTAGAGCACGGTCATTCGTGAGGGCCTGAAGCCTGGAGTCCAAGGCCCTTGCCACAGCTGCGGGAGATTTCTACTTACCTTCCCAGGAGTCCTTCCACCTGCCGTCTGCCCTCTTCCACACTGGGTAGAGCTTTTCATTCCACTCATTTTCATCAGAAGACCAGCCACGTAATTGGCTGCGTTCCCTCAAGTGACCTGGATACTGTTCATGGCCCAGCACATCACGAAATCCTATGTTCGTGTTTGGAAAACAAAAGATTTTGTCTGTTCCTTTTCTCATTTAGCACTTCTATGGCAATGGTCAATGAAGCTTTTCATTTTAGATTACTGGGAAGCACATGTATAATATAGCCAATATATCAAGTAAATAAAGGTGCTTTAAAAAATGTCTGGCTAGGCCTGGCGTTGGTGACACATGCCTTTAATCCCAACACTCGGGAGATAGAGGCAGGCAGATCTCTGTGAGTTCGAGGCCAGCCTTGTCTACAAGAGCTAGTTCCAGGACAGCCTCCAAAGCCACAGAGAAACCCTGTCTCGGGAAAACAAAACAAAACAAAACAAAACAAAACAAAACAAAAGTCTGGCTGGGTGCAGTGGCACACACTATTCCCAGCACGTGGGATGCAGAGGAAGGCAGACCTTCATGAAGCTGAGGCTAGCCTGGTGTACATAGTGATTTCCAGGCCAGCCAGAACTATATAATGAAACTCCAAGTTTTTTTTTTTTTTTTTTTTTTTTTTTAAGTCTACTGAGGCTGGTGAGCTGTCTCAGCAGGTAAGGTCACTGGCCACCAAGACTGACAACCTGAGTTCCATCCCTAGAACTCACACAGTAGAAGCATGTCCACTGACCTTCACACATGCCCCACCCCAACACAAATAAACATAAAATAAGTCTACTTAATGTAATGACAGAGATTGTGGGTTTGAACCTAATATCTTTATCTTTTCTTATCTATATATTTTGATTTTTTTTTGAAACAGAGACTGCTGTATTCCAGGTTGCCCTCAAACTTACTGTGTAGCCTAGGATAACCTTGAACTCCTGACCTTTGTGCTTTCGCTTCTCAGGGGCTGCGATCATAGGTGTTCACTAAAGCTACCTTCTCTTGTAGTTTGGGGGATTATAACTGGATTCTATTTTATCTCCACCACTGAATTATAAATTATATCTCTTTGCTTTGTTTTGGTTTCTCTAAAGTTTGCTGTAATTCTTTGAAAATTCCTCATAATCTTAAATTGAGTTTTTTGGCTGTTGTTTTGCTTGTTTTGGTCTCGCCTGAAAACTTGGCTGGTCTTGTGGTCTCTGTGCACTTTGAACATTGTAGCAGATTGGCTGATCCTTACCCAGTGGTCATTGCCTGCCTAGTCCCCTCTTTTAATCCTTGTCTACAACAGATCACGATTCCAAAGGCTCAATGCCCCAGCTTTCTTTGCAGTGTGAGTTGGGGAAGATGATTGTATCCTGGCTTAGGAAAGCGGGGAGGAAGTCTGCTGGGGTTTGTGGGAGGTGTCCCTCTTTACAAAGCAGACATGTGAGAGATGGCCTCGGCCTTCTCTCTTCAGAACTGATTTCAGAGGCACAGCAAGGGCATGACGCTTGGCCATCACAGCCATGTTTAACCATGAATACGCATGTGTGAGGAAACAGCCAACAGTCAGTGGTGTCAGATTAGAATGCTGAAAGAAATGATAACCACCTAGATGACATTATTGGGTCACTGCTCTGGTGCCGCCTGCCTGTGGTGGTCTGAATAAAAATGGCCCCCATAGGCCCATTGGGAGTGGCACTGTTAGGAGGTGTGGCCTTGTTGGAAGAAGCGTGTCACTGGGGGTGGGCTTTGAGGGTTCAGATGTTAAGCCCAGTGTCTCTCTTCCTGCTGCCTGTGGATCCAGATGGAGGACTCTCAGCTCCCTCTCCAGCACCATGTCTGCCTGTGAGCCACCATGCTTCCCGCCATGCTGATAACGGACTCAACCTCTGAACTGTAAGCCAGCCCCAATTAAAAGCTTTCCTTTATAAGCATTGCTGTGGTCATGGTGTCTCATCACATCAGTAGAAACCCTAAGACACTACCTCTGGGCTGAATGTATAAGATAAGAAGCATCTTAACTTTTTCTATTCCAGCCCAAAGCTTAACTGTGTGACCTAAGGCAGCCTCTAACCACACAGTGTCTACAACTGTTTTCTCATCAATTTATATGATCCTGCATCTTTGCCATGAACTCTTGTAGACCAGCAACTGTCTTCATGTCTTAGATGCTGGAAGAAATACCTTGAGGCGTGGTATTTAGTGGCTACTCATAGAATCCATTTTGGATGCATGCACTAATCTGTTTCTTCTATTCAAGACATTGCCTCTTACGTGCTGAGTAGAATGATGGCTCAGGGTACTTAGAACTCTGGGTCCCTCACAGTTTAGCAAATGCTTACATGTTAGGGAATCTGGGCTACATCCCCTGCCAGTGTGTGTGTGTGTGTGTGTGTGTGTGTGTGTGTGTGTGTGTACAACTTCAGATGCCATCCTCAGAAATGCTGTCTAGAACTCACCAATTAGGACAGAGTGGCTGGCCACCCAGCCCCATAGATCTGCCTGTTTCAACCTTCTTTACACTAAGAGACGGGTATATATCCTGCTTTTGTGTATATGCCCTGTTTACACTAAGAGATGGGTGTATATCCTGCTTTTGTGTATGCCCTGCTTGTTTTGTAGCTGCTGCATATGGAATTCAGGCTTGTGCCTGTGAGGCAGGCAATGTACCCGCTGAGCCATCTCTTAACTTCTTGTTGGTTTCTCAACAGAGAGGCAGATGCAGTGGGAATAGCATTGAACGGGTGAATGGTGCCTGGTCTCTGTCTTGTGCAAAGAATTAAGCTGCTTCCTTTCAGCCTCCCTTTAGAGATGAAGACATCGAGGTCTAGAGAGCTAAAAGCTTCACCAGGGTCATCTTGAGTCTAGTGCAAAAGGAGATTCACCTCCTTCATGCCCACAAGCGCTTCTTTCTCACTGTTCAGAGTCTTTGCCCTCAGATCCGGAGGAAGAGTGTTTTTAGAGATGCAACCAAAGCACAGATGGTGTTGGGGTGTGACCCAGTGGTACCGTGCTTGACTGGCATGCAGAGGCTCTGGCTTTGAACTCCAGCACCACCAACCCGCCCCCCCCCAAAAAACCAACAACACAGACAAAACCGCATAGATAGGTGTTTTGCTTGTAAACTTCAGAAGTCAAAGGAAAGTACAGCTGGGTGGTGGAGCACGCCTTTAATCTCAGCAGAATTAGGTGGATCTCTGTGAGTTTGAGGTCAGCCTGGTCTACAGAGTGAGTTTCAAGACAGCGGGTCACACAAAGAAACCCTGTCTTGACAAAAGAAAAAAGGAAAGGAGGAAGGAAGGAAGGAAGGAAGGAAGGAAGGAAGGAAGAAAGAAAGAAAGAAAGAAAGGAAAGGAAAGGAAAGGAAAGGAAAGGAAACTACAGGGAGCAGAGGAGGAGCAGGGAAGTCAGAAGCAAACCTGTTCCATCTACCCTTCCAGAGCTCAGACCAGTCATAGAATCATTCATTAGAGGAGCTGGGGAGACAACTCACTGGTCGTCTGGGCAGCTCTTGCCACAGACACTGAGGGACCAAAAATTCAAATTAATAAAAGTTTAAAAAACTAGGGCTCTAAAAAGAAAAAAAAAGGGGGGTGGGGACTTCTAATGGCTGGGAGTGCCATGGCTGGCGCCTGAGCCCTACTCCCAGAGAAGCAGAGGTGACTATCCATCACTCCTGTTAGCATTCCTTTGCTAATTGCTGGTTGTAAAGGTGCCCTGCTGGTTGTAAAGATTCCCCTGCCCAGGGGATAATTGACAGACCCTATGACTCTGTAACCCTGCAAGCCGTGCCCTGTCTTATCTCAGTCAAATGTATCTCCCTTAAAATGTATGGTTACTGACTAACTCTGTACTTTGTATGACCTTAAGTAACCATGGAAACTCTGTAATTTGTGGCCTTCAACCTTATGGTCTGCCCCTTTAAAAGCTTCTCTTTTTGGCTGGGTGGGATCTCATTTGCCCACCATGCAGTGAGATCCTAGCTGGCCAGCTTGAAATGAAAAGAAACCTTTTGCTTTTGCATCAGAGTGTCGACTCCTTGGGTTAGTGTCTGGGCTCCGCAAACCTGGCACAACAACATGAGTGTGGATCTTGGCAGCCATGTCAAGGAGCTCCAGCTACAGGAGATCTGGCGCCCTCTTGTGGCCTCTTCAGGCACCACCCCCACAATAATCTAAAGGTTAAAAACAAACAAAAACCCCAAAAAACCCACAATAGAGAAAAGACACATCTTAAAAAGCAGCAAGCAGAGATGAAAACATCAGGATTTAGGGTTAGACAAGAATTCTTAGGTTAACACCAAAAGCATAATCCATAAAAGGAAAAACTAACGTATGAGCCCTTATTCAAGTAAGAAACCTCTGCTCTGTGACATCCTCTGGGAAAAAGCAACAGAAAGCTACACCACAGTTCCACCAATACTAAAAAACAATTCAAGCCAGGCATTGGTGGCGCACACCTTTAATCCTAGCACTGGGGAGGCAGAGGCAGGTGGATCTCTGTTAGTTGGAGGCCAGCCTGGTCTACAAAGCTACATAGAGAAACCCAGTCTGGGGGTGGGGGGAAGCAATTCGGATTTGAAAATGGGACAGGACATGAGCACACACTTCAGAAGATGTGCAGACATCAGACACTAGCGGGTCACTGATGTGCCCTTCTGCAGACCAAAGTAAACAGTGGTGCCAGTGTCTGCCTGGTGACAGCAAGGAATTAGAACTTGAAAAGGTGAAGCCATTCTTCTAAATTCTAATAAAAGTCAACATGCCCCTTTTTTCTTATTCTTGAGACAGGCTCTCATAGTGTAGCTCTGGCTAACCTGGATCTCACTTTGTATACCAGGCTGGTCTCAAACTCACAGAGATCCCCCTGCCTCTGCCTCCTGAGTGCTGGGATTAAAGGTGTGCGCCACCCTCACTCGTAGAGAAATGAAACTTGTAACCACACAAAAATTCACACATGAGAAATTCATAGCATCTTTACTCGGAATAGTCCAACTTGGAATACCTCTGATGCCCTTCAGTGGGTGGGCGTTAAAGTGGTGCATCCTGACCATGAACTACTTACTACTCAGGAAGAAAAAACAAAACAAAACCAGACTATTGATGCAGCAGCAATATCAATACATCCCAGGAAACTAAGAAAAACCCCAGGCCAATGTCTAAAGTCACATACTGTAAAATTCCATTGTGTACATTCTGGAAATAATATAATAAATAATAAGATTATTTAAAGGACAGTTTCCTAGTGGCCAGCAACTGGAGCTGGGAAGAGGAAGGTATTTGGTTTTAAAAGGGCATGGGATTGTTGTGGTGGCTTTGGGCATGTTCTGTACTTTGACTGTCTTCCTATCAGGATCTTGGCTGTGATACTTGGTTGTCCAGTTTTGCACTTGAGCAAACTAAGTAAAGATTATATTGGAGCTTGTCTGAATTATTTCTTTCAATTTCGAATGCATGCACAATTTCCGAAAACATAGAAGTTCAACTGAAAACCAGATAATCCCAGTAGCAGACAGCCCTATTATTCAATTTCTGGCTGTTTGTTTGTTTGGTTGGGTTTTTTTCGAAGCAGGGTCTCACTATGTAGCTCAGGCTGTCCTTGAACTCATTATGTACTACTAAACTGTCTCACGGAGAGATCCATTTGCCTCTTTGGTGGTTTTGGGACCACCAAAGGTGCGAGCCACACGGCCTGGCTTTGGTTGCTGTTTTACTGACTTTTAACAACTTACTTCTATTATTCCTCCAGGCTCTTAATAGTCTGTCCGCGGGAGGTTGGGGGGGGGGGTGTGGTGGCGCTCAGATCGGTCCTTAAGAATTGCCATTGAATATGTGTTCTGGCCAGGCATCTTTGCTAGCTGATTTCCCAAGATTCTAGAACCCACTTTTGCAAACGAGGAAAAGGAAACTTAGTGAAGCTAATTCCTCACTCGTGCCCAGCCTAGCAGCTGGCACGCACCTAACTCCGTCCTACCCCAAACCCTGGCAGGAAGGACGGCGGATGAGATGGCATGCATCCCCTTCCATCGGCTTTCTGTGTGACCCGGGGCGAATTCCTGGCCCGCTCAGTGGCGGGGTTTCTTATCCGGGGAAACCCGACAATCACAAGGTCAGATTCCCCTCGTTCTGTGAAGGCGATATACCTAGACACGAGGTGGGACATTCCACCTGGCACCTCGCTGCCTGCTGTCTCTGAGTCTGAAGTCCAAAGGGGCGCGTCCCGGGCTTTGAGCACTCGGGGCGGGGTTGTGGTGGGACAATCTTCTGGTGTAGGGTTCCCCAGCGGTTCCACTTTGCCTGGCCTGAGATCCACCCGAGTCAGGACGACCTAAGAGAGGGCCTGGCTTGCACTAGAGGAGGCAGGGAGATGAGGTGGCCCGCTCCTCTGCAATTGTCCCAGGCCAAGGTGGAGTTGGGGGGTTACCTGGGGTAGCTGGGGTAACCACCAGGCGGCCACACTCGGGCTCAGGGAAGATGCGGGTTCTGGCTGGGCCCTGTCCCCTGCAAGTGAGGTGAGTGGCTCTTTTTCCCCCTTGCACACTAGCTCTGCAAAGCGCAGGACAGCCACACCCCGGCGGGGACAACAGGGCGTGCTGTAACATTGCTCCACCCGCGCTGCGCACCAAGGATGCTGGACCAGGATGCCCAACTCCAGAAGACGCCCCTGCACTTATTGGGCATCAGCGTTCTTGGCAGGGCCCCTGCCGTAGAGCTCACCCAGGGTGGAGCCTGCTGGTCCCTGGTATCCTCACTGGAGCCGCAGTGCGCCCTGTGGTGAGCAGGGGGTACGGTTGGGGAGCTCTGCAAAGTTAGCAAGAGCCTCCTCATCTAAGAGCTCCGCCCTTGTGAGCGGGAAGCAGATGAGGGTGGCTTGGGAGACTTGCTTTATTCTTGGGGTATGGACTGTACTCCCGCTTCCAGCTACAGTCGGGTCAGGGTGGAAACGGCTTCCAGTGGCCGCGTGGCTTTTGCTTTATGAGCCCCAAGCAAATAACACAGTCCCCGCATTCGGAACAGACCCCGCTTCCTGCAGACCCCCAAACACACGAGGGCCCCCGACCCATCGCTTGTACCAGCCAATGCAAACGCCCTCAGAGGGCGGGACTCACGCTTGGCGTCCTGGAGCGGCAGTCCTGAAGCCAGCAGCAGAAATCCCAGGACCCCGAAGAGACTTTCCATGCTGAGTCCGAGCGCCCGCAATCAGTCAGGGCTTGACTCTCACTCCCCACGCCCATCCACCAGGAGTCACCGTGTCAGCCTCCTTCCTGCGCCCCGCTCTGTTTTATGAAATACCGGGCCCGGGAAAGATCATGTGATGTTTTAAGCAGTGTGGCTTGATCTCTCGAATTCCACCTCTTATGAACTCGTGCTCATGACTCACTCGCCCCTGGCGTCTATTTATTGACTTGGGGTGCACGGTATTTTCATTTTGTGATCCTACATTTGCTCCTCGCTTTTCTTTTCTAGCACCTCTCCCGCTTTCCTAGCTCAAAGGGAGCTTCCTAACGTCCTATTCTGACATTCTTCCTTGCTGTTCATAGGACGCATCTTTCCAGAATTTGGACAGCAGCACCAGCTAGCATTCCTTCCCCGCGCCCAGGGCAGACAGATACCCTGGTGTCATTCCAATGAGATGCCATTGTGCTATAAATTCATGGATACAAACATTTCGTGCTGGGTCAGAAATTGCGAGGTGGGGACAGCCCACAGGCGTCAAGCAGTGGAGAAATGTGCCACACAGCCGTTTATGACGTAACCACTCGACTCCATAGTATGCTCAGAACAAACTGCATCATTTTTGGTATTTGCTCTTAGCGCTTGTGTGTGTTACATAATTTCAGGTGAACTGTGTGAAGCACGCTGCATTACCATATAGCAAGCATTGAGTGTAGAAACAACCTTGTCTGGAACATACATTTCATACACTCAATCATTTATGGTTATAGACAATGTGGAAGTGTGGCATGTGAGCCTCTCACTGGTGCGATGGTCTCTAAGGAGCATCCCTATGGCTGATTTCCGGGCATGGGAAGTCCTGGTTATGGTACACACTGACTTATGGTCCATTGTAACAGGGGGATTAGGGCTGGAGTGTGGAAATGAATCTGAAATGGAGGATTCTACACATTGACAAGGAAGCAAGTCTCCAACACAGAGAAGTGAAAAATGGAAATATTGGCTTGTGTAATGTAAATAACACATAGAGCTCTGTTTGCTTTACACAACACATATAACTTTTCAATTAGAAACAAACAGTAAGCATTGCGGTGAACTCCTTTAAGCCCAGCACTCAAGAGGCAGAAGTACCTGGATTTCTGTGCATTCAAGGCCAGCCTGGTCTATATAGCAAGTTCTAGGTCAGCTAAGGCTACACAGTGAGTCCCTGACTAAAAAACAAAACAAAAACAAACAAACAAACAAACAAAGCAAGCATTGGAGCTGGTGAGATGGTTTAGTAAGTAAAGGCATTCTCTGTCAGTTGAAGACTTGAGTTCAATTCCTGGAACCTACATGGTAGAAGGAGAGAACAGACTTCAAGTTGTCCCCTGATCTTGATATAAGAGTGGTGGCATGTACTAATTTCTCTATCTCCAAATAAATGTAAACAATAACAAGTTTTCAGCATTTGACAAATATCCTCTGGTGTGAAGTGTTGATGCCCTTTGTGGCTTGCATTTTTGGTGAGATGAGAGATGTGTTTAAATAATTGGACATGTTAAACTTTTCTGTAACAAAATCTTAGTTTTGTTTAGGAAGCTGCAACAATCAAATTATCTTTTATTTTTTGCCTTCCCTGCCCCATCAGGAGAGGTGGCAGCCACGAGGGTAGGAGTCAAAAGTCAGCTGCTGGAGGTAAACTAGAAATGGGAAGTCTTCCTCCTCCTCCTCCTCCTCTTCCTCCTCCTCCTCTCCTCCTCCTCCTCTCTTCCTCATTCCTCTTCATCTTTTTCCTCCTCCAGAGGATTGGGTTCAATTCCCAGCACCAACATGGTGGCTCACAAACATTTGTAACTCCTGTTGAAGGAATCTCACAGCTTCACCTGAGCTCCTCAGGCACCAGGCATGCCTGTATTCCAAAGAGCTGTAAATGGGACAACCTGTTTTTGATAATCAGACAAGGGCAACATGAGGTACCCAAGGTCAGGTCTGTTGGGGAGAAGGAATATTCAGACCTTGTTTTATTAAAAGAGTTAGGAATAACTCACTGAAAGAAAGGAAGCATCTGGACTCTTTGGTGTTGCAATCACTCTGGTTAGAAATGGTGTTGAGGGGGTGAGCTATAGTCATCTCCAGAGAAAAAGCCCCAAGAGCCTCTCAGCACCTTGAGTGCTGTCCCTCCTTCAGGCGGCCACTGTCTTGGCTTTTGCTGTGCTTAGGATTCGATGACTGAAGCAGACACCCAAAGGGACACACAAAACGGCAGGCTGCAGCCAAGCCTAGAAGTCCCCGCTGGACCTCAGTAGCCCCGTCTGGCCTCTAACTTGCTGTACCATTGAGGATGACCCTGGACTTCTGATCTTCTTGCTTCCACGCTCTAAATACTGAGATAACAACTGTGAGTAACAACACCTACATGGTGCTGGCGCTGGGGAGCTAACCTGGGGCTTTGTGTGCTCTAGGCAAGCACCCTGCCCACTCACCTTTATCCCCAGGGCTCCCTCAACTAACATCCTTTAATTTTAGAAATTGCTCAGTCCAAACCAGAGCTTTAAAAATGAGATCACAAATCTAGTTAAGATCTAGTCCACTAACACTTACATTCTTTTTCTTTTTATGTGTATGGGTGTTTTGACTACTTATATGTTTTTACACTACATGTGTGCCTGGGGCCTGTAGAGGCCAGGGGAGGGTGTCAGATCCCCTGGAAGTGGAGTTGAAGATGTGTGTGAACCACCATGTGGCATGTACTCTGTGGAGCCATCTCTTTAGCCCACAGACCCCCCAACTCATAAATAGTTACTCTAAAGTTCCTTTTAACAAATGGCCAAAACTCAGAGGCTTAAAACAACTGCAGTTTATTAGCTCACTGCCTGCAAGTCAGAAGTCTGAAATGGGTCTCAACGAGGTCCCGTCAGCACAGCTCCAGTGACGAGTCCCCTTCCTTGCCTCTTCTCCACTCTCTGGCTTCTCACACCTTCCGGTTTGTGGCCAGTCTCCCTCTCAACATCCATCACTGGTAATGGAGTCTTTCTCACATTTCCATCTTCCGGTGTGGAGGCTCCTGACCCTCTCTTTGACTTACAGATCCCTTGTTATTTCATAGGGCTCACCTGGATGTTCCAGAACCTTTTCCTGTCTCCAGGTCAGTGGTCAAACACTTTTGATGCGGCTTCATTCCTCATATTTTGGTATTTGCCATATCACAGATTCATAGGTCCTGTGGGTTAGGGTTAGACATGTCCGGGGCCTTTATCCTTCCTCACAGTTATCCAGAAGGTGGCTTGCAAGACAATATCATAAAGGTGGGTGATTGGAATGCTGTTGGACAATAACCCCCAAATTTCACATACCTGTTGAAATTTGTGGCAGAGTAGGAAGTTAACAATAAACTCAAAATAAAGGGGATCAACTCCTAGAGAGAGGCAGCCCACGTGACTGCCAGGCCGTAATGTGGGCTTTTAGCACATGTCTTGAGCAGAGTCACGGTTTTCAGATTTAGGCATTGGCAGATGACTAAAAGACTTCTGCTGTGCCCAGTTCTTGGCTCTCTCCTGTGCAGTGGCTCTCTGCATGAATGAGTAATTAAAGCCTTGATTCTAGGGCTCAGTGAGCTTTGAGCCTACTCTTTCCCCCCAAACATTTTTTTTCCTGTATCTTCAGAAAGGAGGAGAAAAGGAACACACAGGCTAACATGACCTTTCAAGAGGTTCCGTCCACTGCTAGCTTGTCTTCTATTACCACAGTTTGTTTATGTGGTGTGCACGTGTGTGCGTGTGTGTCTGTGTGCCACACTGCATGTGTGGAGGTTGATTCTTCTATCTTGTGAGTTCCAGAAACTGACTCAGGGTGTCAGGATTGGTGCCAAACAGCTTTACATGCTAGGCAACCTGTGTCCGTTCATCCATCTATCCGTCTGTCTGTCTGTCTGTCCCTCCTCTTTCTATGGAATCTGGGCTGACCTGAAACTCTCAATCTTTTTGCTTTAGCCTGCCAACTGCTGAGATTAGATGAGGGAGAAGAACACGACCTTCCTGTTTTATTGACACCCACCCCTCATACAGCTGCTTGCTGGATTTTTGTTGTTGTTGTTTTCCAGACAGTGTTTCTCTGTAGCTTTGAAGCCCGGTCCTGGAATTTTGTAGACCAGGCTGCCCTCGAACTCACAGAGATCTGCCTGCCTCTGCCTCCTAAGTGTTGGGATCAAAGTCATGTGCCACCACCGCCCGGCTGGATTATTTTTAAGGCAGTCTTAATCTTTGTTGGTGTGTGGATTTAAATGAAGTCTTGTAGAAAGAATGATAGACCTTTGAGAGGCTGGAAGAAAGTCAGACGCATTTCTAGGGAAAGTGCGGGCTGGTTCTTGCATCACAAATTGAACTAAGGCCTAAACACATATGGAAAGAGCAGCCAGGCTGAGGGGCCACATGAACAGAAGAGAGACTGTATTCTTTCAGTCACAAAAAGACAAACATGGTATGTACTCACTCATATATGGATTTTAGACATAGAGTAAAGGATTACCAGCCTACAATCCACACTGCCAGAGAAGCTAGTAAACAAGGAGGACCTTCAGAGAGACAGGCATGGTCCCCTGGAGAAGGGGAAAGGGTCAAGATCTCCTGAGCAAATTGGGAGCATGGGAAGAGGGGGGAGGGAGCTAGGAGAACGAGAAGGGGAGAAGAGGAGGGGTGAGGAAGACATGATCCAGCAGAAAGGCTGAATCGGGGGAAGAACTGAAGAAAACAAGAATGGAGATTCCATAATAGAGGGAGACATTTTAGGGTTACAGAGAAATCAGGCAAATGTCTGGAGATCTACAAAGATGACACCAGCTAACAATCTAAGCAACAGAG